TGAGCCGATGAGATTAGAACCGCTGAACTGCAGATAACAGTCAGCTGAAGTGGCCTGCAGTACTGCACCCTAACCACTGCGCCACCTCAGCTCTTGATAACTGATCATTACAAGAGATACTGTGTGTGGCACAGACCTGATTAAAGATTAGCCTACATTGTGTATGCAATATGATAAATACCATATTTTTCTGGCTATAAGACGGACAGGAGTATAAGACGCACCAAGATTTGGAAGAGGTAAATTTTAAAAAAAGTTTATGCACTATGCAGCCCCCCCAAACCCTTTTCACGCCAGCTGAGTTCAGCCTTTTTGAAAGCCATTTTTCGTTCTCCCCAGGCTCCAGAGGCTTTATAGGAGCCTGGGGAGGGCGAAAACAGCCTCCCCTGCCTACCTGGAGGCCCGCCGGAGGCTTTAGGACCTTCCCTGAAGCCACCAGAGTGTAAACAACCAGCCCTGTGAGCAAACCGGAAGTTCAGGAACCGACTTCTGATTTGCTTGTAGGGTCATTTTTAGTTCTCCGGAGCCTTCAGGGAAGCCTCCTGAAGGTCCCTGAAGGCTCCGGAGTATTAAAAACAGCCCTACGAGCAAACTGGAAGTGGGTGGGTGGATGGATGGATGGATGGATGGTCCACCATTCATCATCTTTTAAAGACCCCATAATCCCTTGTGGGGTGGAGTCTGAGCAACTGAATGGAGCTGAGTGATTACTGGCCAGATGATCTTCCTGTCACCAATGCGGAGTTATACTCAGCAGCTATATTCTAATTGTGCCCAGAGAGAGAAATATCTGTCTCTACCTAGGATCGAACTCACAGCCTGCTAATTGTGAGGCAAGGGCTCCCCCCCTAGACCAATCAAATAGATATTCTGCCATTCCTTGAAGGAAATTGAAACATGAGATTACTCTAATTACAGTACCACTGGAGACTTCAAGGTAGACCACATTGGTGATTAATAGGATCCCCCACGCTCATAGACAGACATACTGCTAAGGTTTTGTTTGATTGTAAATAGCTGGCGTAGAATCAATTTTAGTTTCCTCAATCAATTTCATTTTAGAAAGGACTCAGAGCAGAAAGACCCAAGTCTTAGAATACATGATTTTTACCAAAAAAAAAAAAAAAAAAGAATATTGTTTTTCCTTTATCCCACAGTAGAATCAACTGATTGAATGAATTATGTAAGTATCCAGAGTCCTGCTCAATTGTTTTTTCCTGAGACCAAATGTCCCAGCTGATTTGGCAATCAAAATATTGAAAAGTAAATGAAGTTCAGCATGACAGCTTTTATTTGCAAGTTGGGGAAGGCAAGAAAACAAGAAGTCATTTTGTCCTGCATCTTCCAAATAGCATAATGCAGGCATCTCCAGTCAATCCAAGAGGAAAAGTATATTTAAATTTCAAGAAAGAATTCTGGTTTGTTCATCAATGAATACACTATGTTTAATTCTATCAGGGTGACATTAAGGCAATCAGCAGTGGGTTTCACTTATTTTTACCACCGGTTGTGCCCGCGTGCATGCTCACTTCGTGCACACGTGCACCCTCTGCGCATGCGACCAGCCTTCCATGCATGCACTTTGCTCACATAATGCGCCTTCTGCGCATTCACTCGGCTTCAAAAACGTGGCTGAATAGTACGGCATAGTGCCAGGATGGGTGGGCAGTTCCACCTGCGATCTCTGCTATTGGTTCGTCCTAACCGGTTCGAACCGGCTGAATACCACCTCTGAAGCCCATGTTTGACTGTTTTGAAAAAGGACAGCTCTGTCTCTATCTATGCTTCACAGCAATGGTTGCTTGGGTCAAGAGCCAGGTTCGGGGAAATCCCATCCAAGTGGTGTGTCACACAGCATGTGACATTTGGTCAACAGCTGGCATTTCTGATAGCAGTCCCATAATTGTGTAACCTGTCCTGTTTGAAGATAAAAATGAAGTTTCCCTTTAGAAATCACCGATATGTACCCATGCACAAGTTTCCTCAGTAAGGCCTGTGATTGTGGATTCAATTTAACTGATTTTTCTAATATTGGTTTTATTTTGTGGTTTGTTGTGGCCTGCCAGCAGAGCTGGCAGCAGATTCAGACAGTGAGGAGTTTGGGGAAGAACATGGCCCAGTCCTGGAGTCTGGGCTCTGTGTCAGAAGCAGAGAGGGGGCCAGAGCCATATGCCAGTTATCAGCCGCCTTAGGAGTCAGACATCAGTGAGGCAGATAGCAATAGCAATAGCAATAGCAGTTAGACTTATATACCACTTCATAGGGCTTTCAGCCCTCTCTAAGCAGTATACAGAGTCAGCATATTGCCCCCAACAACAATCCGGGTCCTCATTTCACCCACCTCGGAAGGATGGAAGGCTGAGTCAACCCTGAGCCGGTGAGATTTGAACAGCCAAACTGCAGAACTGTAGTCAGCTGAAGTAGCCTGCAGTGCTGCATTTAACCACTGCGCCACCTCGGCTGGAGCCTGTTCCCAGTGTGCGCTTGTGCAGAGCTGCCAGATGAAGGGAATAGCTAAAGAACAGGGGTCGACTTGGGATTAAGGCCATAGGTGTACGATGAATGGCCCCTCCCAGAGGAAATAAAAGAGGAGCGAAAGGGGAGTGGAGTTTGCAGGAGACAATCAGTTCGATTAATTGGTTCATGACTCTCCGAGACTCCTTGCCAAGTTTTGCAGAGATCGGTCTGGCAGCTCTTCAAGACAGACAAGGCCTGTGCCTGTAAATCCTCCTTTGAAAGACTTTGTTGGATGTGAATGAGAAGAATTCACAGTCAATTAATAAAAGGGTTTTTTTTGGGACAAGGGGTTTGCTTCATGCTCTTGGGAAGCCTCGGTCAAAACATGGTTATCTCAGTTTTTATCACAAAGGTACAAAATAAGGGCTGGAAACTTACAGTGGAGGAATCTCACACTGAGATAGCAAGTTCATGTAAATGCTAACAGGTTTGGCTCATTCGTGTTGAAGAGAATATAATTGGTCTGTCAGCATTAAACATTTCTTTTCACAAATGATAGGAAAGCCTATTCAATTAGCACAGTGCAAGGAACGTGGCAGGCCCTGTGAAGGATGCAACGATACAACATGGCACTATTCTGCCTTGGGAAACCCTTCTTACTAAGTGCCAAAATGATCTACAAATCACGCAAATGATTTTCTTTACGCTTTGCTGGTGTTCAAAGGATTTGATGGCCTGGTCATTCTTGTATAAAATAAAGAAGTGTATTTTTTTTGCCTGCCATTTTTCAGCAGCAATTTCATTTCCGTTAAATAGTGTTCTTTTGTGGTGCCCTGGCACAAACAAAAATTAAGTGCTCTTTCTAAGAATATGTTCTCTAAACTACAGTCACTAAATCCTGAATATTTGCCCAAACCTCTTTTCATCCACAGCAGTTTCATTGGTAACCATTACTTTTAGGAAAAAATGAATGGTTATATGATGTACTTGAAACCATCATTCATAATCTAGAAGAATTCTTCTCCTCCTTTCCCCCTCCTCTTCTTCTCCTCCTCTTCTTCTTCTTCTCCTCTTCTTCTTCTCCTCTTCCTCCTCCTCCTCTTCTTCTCCTCCTCTCCTCCTCCTCCTCCTCCTCCTCTTAGCAATAGCAATAGCAGTTAGACTTATATACCACTTCAAATGTCTCTTGGGGCTTTAAGCTTCTTGATTATAGCAATAGCAGTTAGACTTATATACCACTTCAAATGTCTCTTGGGGCTTTAAGCTTCTTGATTATAGCAATAGCAGTTAGACTTATATACCACTTCAAATG